GAAGATGAAAAGAAGTACTTTTTTTTCATCAAGAAAATATAAATAAAATATTTTTATGTATGCTCTAATGTATAATCTAGTATAAGAAACAACAGGTAAAGAATGTGCGCTGTTATTATCACTTACAAATAAATCAGAATTTTCTTATATTATCTACATGTTCAGTTCAATCTACATACTTGGCACTCGTTCATAATGATATGGATTGATGCATATTTCATCTTTTCGATAATGATAAGCGTATGTACAATAATCCATTGGTTTCAAATCATTATGAGATGTTAAATCTGGCCAACGAAATAATTTACAATAAACAACGACTGGATTAGATTTTCGTTGTTGAATTTGTAGACGACCATCCAATGAACTAAAGATAAAAAAAAATGAATAATTAACAATAATATCTTATTAAATATTTTTAAATAGATTTACCGTTGAATGGTAACACATTTTGTTCCTGAATTTTTTTGTGATAAAGCTCGTTCTAATTCTTCAATTGCACCGCTACGTTTCAATTTTTTAATTAAACTTCGAATAGCTTTTTCAGCATAATGTTGTTGTTCATCATTATTAGTTGAATGTGAATCATCCATGCCATTATTATTATTATTATTGATATTAGAACCATTTACTCTCAATAACATTAAACGTTTGACAACGGGTGCCATTGAACGACTTTTTGTCAATGAACTAAGCAAAGTTGTTAAAGGATTTGACATTGTTGGAGGAGAAGTTGAAGCTGATGTTGTTGAGAACGACATGTTTTCGTTTTTTGTTTTTTTTCAAAGTAAAATAATTTTTACATTAATAGCATATTTTTGAAAAAGAAAAGAAAAAGAAAAGAACAAAATACAAAAAGAAATAAAATACTTTCATTTTCATCTAGAAGAAAATGACATGTCTTTTTAGTAGTGACATACAATTATTAACAATTTCATGACCGAATAAAATAAAACAATATCAGCAACATACAATGGATATTTTTCCCGAAAACAGGCGGATATGT